GGGGGTGGTATCCCCCCCCCCCCCGTGGATGTGTTATTCTCTGAGTTTGATCTTTTATTTATTTCAAGAGCGGTTATATAGCCTAAAGCCTCAAGAATGGATTTTGGGTTTTTTTTCCTCCACTGCATTCAAGCAAACAGGTTAATCAGGGATATCTTTCATGATATGAGTCAGATCTTTATTTGAACAAAAGAGGCCACAAAAGATGGCAGCATAGCTAGTTCTCTTGGGCACAACCCAAAATCTTTTCTTTTCTCTTAAGGTATATGTTGCATTGAGCCATATCTAGAATTTTATCTCTTGGGAAATGTAGGAAGGGGAAAATATTTTTCATTTTTGACTACCCCAAAATATTGCTAAACATGCATTCCTGTTTCCATTGTTCTCACATTAAATTCTCTGCACTTAATTGCTCTATTTGGGTGGCTACAAATCCTCCCAAAGCACCTTGTATTCTGTTGAAGCCTCATGGTGTGGTGGTTAAACTGCAATATTGCAGTGAGGACTCTCCTCATGACCTGAGTTCAGTCGTGGGCTCAGGTGGACAGCTGGAGGTTGACTCAGCCTTCTATCCTTCTGAAGCCAGTAAATTGGGTATCCAGCTCATTAAGAGGGTGGGCAATATGTAGCTTGAATAACTGAGTTATAAACAACCAAGAGAGAGCTTAAAGAGCTATGCGACCGCATATAAGCAGCCTGCTTTGCTGCTGATCTGAAAATCTGTTATAATGAATTTCTGTCTTGGAATTTGGAGTGAGGAGATTAACCCCCTAGATTGCCATTCCAGACTCACTCTTAAGTTTTTCTACTATTTACCCCTGTCATTGCTTTTTGCTGGCATGGAAAGCAACTGCAACTCCCAGACATAATGCTCTATCAAGGCCACCAGTTACAGTTGTCCAGCCCCCAAAGAAACAAACTGTAATGGCTGCCTGGTCACATCTGGATTCAGTAGAAAGCCCAAATTTTAATTTTTAGTCCTGTGTCCCAATTGTGGGAAACCTGTAGCTCTTGAATTAATATGCAGAATATTTCATACACTGTAAAAAGCCCCAAGGAATTGGCTGATTTTTGTCACTGAAGCGTTTTGCTTTATTTTGGTTTTTATAAACCATAAGCCACACTCAGAATCCTACTAATGTTTGCATATGTTTTGCCCGTATTGCCATAGCCAATCACAGCTAATTGATGAGGCTATAGGATAAATTCTGGTTATGCTTGTCACATGACCAAGATGCACTCTGACATCTCATCAATTAGGCGCAATTAGCTTTGGCAACCTCTGCCAATATTATGTGAACACTAAGTAGGACTCAGGCTGATGTTTATCTATCAGGATTTTGCAGGAAAAAATATCCTGTCCTGATATCGTTATGAATGTTAAATGGAAACTGAAAAAGTTTTTTCCCCTCTTTTTTTCTTTTTGATGCTGAACCCTCGATTAGGTTTGGGGGAGTTTTGCTGCTCCAAGATACATTGAAATGTAGCCTGGGACATTAAAATTAAATATTTCCCAAATATCATGGGGAGAATTAGCTTATTTCATGGGCTGCAATCCTGTCTATGCAAGGATTCCAGCCCATGAAATCCTTGTAAGGCCGAGGACATCATCACTCAGAGCAGTTTTTCATAAATTAAAAAAGTCAATTTCCTCCCCGGG